GAGGAAAAGACTCTACTACATTTCCTGTGCTTCACATCCATGAGGTGACAAAAGCCACTATTAACACAAGAACAAACACTGCTCAATAGAAAACAAGCCAAGACAAACTACAGACAGGGATAAAAAAGAGGAAAGTTTTTGCATACCTTTGCAAAGTTATAAGATGCTGTATCATTCAAAGATCAAAAATGGTAGAACACTATCATTGCAATATCACATTTTACAAGCAGGCATATTTATTTCCCTATTTTTGCAGACCAGTACAGAAGATAGTTCAATAAAACAGCTTTGTGTAATTGTCACCAGGTATTCTTAAAAAATACGATTGCCTCCAAAATAATTTTATGATTCCTACAGGATAATTAGAAAAAGCAAGTAAATGCCCTTTTTTGTGTGTGTGTGTGTGTGTGAAGAATGGAAGTCACGGAATAATCTTTTGAGGCCTGGAGTACACAACAATCACACTAAATTCCCTCAGCTCAAGAAATGTCATCTTTACATCGACTGGTACAAAAAAAAGTGTTTCTAGCCTGAGGCCGTTGTGATAAGGGATTTAGAAGCCATCACCATGTGGGCTAGGAGATACCAAGGAATACATCATCACATTTGACCTGTCTGCTGCTCACAGTTTTGGAGCTAATGTTCTCACAGCTGGATGTGACTTGGACCTGCTGGGAAGAATAAAAAAAGGACTAAATGAGTCCCTATAAGTATCCAGCATTTTGCCTTACCTGCATTTAACAAGACAGCAGCAGAACTAATGGTAAGCAAAATCAGATCATTTTAAAGCCAGGCATGAGATTGCATGCTCTCTTGGACACACAGTGGAAGCCACAGTCTTCGGGAAAGGTGGACCAAGATTTCAGTCCAATCTATGGATATTTCAGTGGAATCTATGCACTGCTGAGATACGACCCTCAGCTGAAGCAGCCTTCAGTGCAAGTCAAGCAGGTCCTGGGTTACACAAAAATTTTTGCAGGCTGCATGGCACTCCAAGCATGTCTGCACTGTGATATATTAGGAGGGGGAAGCCTTTCTAAGGCCTTCAGGAGCTTCAGCACAGCAGTCCTCTTCTAGCAGACACTGGGCTTTTTATACAATGATACACTGCAGCTCAAGATGAAATTTTACCCTTACAGGTAAGAGTCTGTAGACTGTCAGAGCGGACCTTTGCATTAAAACGCTTGATAACTGCAAATTTATACTCATAGGCTTCGATACCAGACTTCTCTTCAAAGGCAGTATCAGAGTTTAAACAGGGCTCTCAGTGGGCACAGGAGACTAAAAAGTTCCAGGTGGATGTAGGAACCTTCACCTTACTGTATGAAGTAAGGACAGCCTTGAGAAAGGTTTAAAAGCCTAATTATTAAACTAGTGAAAAATTCAGCTCCTTCTGGGGTTTCTGCTGATGCAGGGTTCAATATTCCATGATACATCTGGCTCCGACATCCTGAGTGTGAGCAAAAGGACTAGTGATGGTCCCAAGATTCTCCCCACGTTTTATTTGCTCTCTGCCTCTTTCTCCCTCAAGATGTATTTTCTTTTGGGAGATGTTCCTTCTTTACATATTTATCACATCTGTGATTACCCAGGCTATGGTTCAGTCATAACGTGCATGTTAATGTGCACTGCCACCCAAAAACTGTTTGGCATACCATAAAACCCAGCTGTTAGATGGCAAATGTCAAACATATCAAAACATATAAATAAGAAGTCTTCACGTGACACTCTCTTGGAACAATTCTGCCACATTTACTCCATTTGCTTAAGAGTGCAAACGTTCACAGATTATCAGTTTCTAATACGTTTCGCAGGGGCAATGCATTCCAAATATGCTTCTCCAGATACTTAGCAGATGGAAGCTTGAAAAATAGAGCATTGTTATCTCACCCTCAATCTGATGAAGCTGATTTGCATCATTAATGATACTTTGGTCTGCTTTGGTTTAAAAACCTCTTATATTTTGAATAAAATGGATTAATACTCTACACTACTGCAAGAAAATTAGCAGCGTTTCCAAAGAAAAGAATGAACTTAAAGAAGAAAATCCTTCTGCTGCATATTTTAGAGAGGATACTGAACTGGCACAACACTTCATACATTTATGTAAACACTGGAACGTTTACTAGCTTCTGCGACAGCGACATTTTAAACGACAATTTTTAAAAATCTATCTTGTTCCACACATTTCTTTGGATTCTTCCAGCTATCAAATAAACTCAGTTCTCACAAAGATCAATCTTTTTATGTATATGCATTCTTACAAACCCTGTGTGATACAAGGGAAATAGACTGAAGGTAAGGCAGAGATCTAACGAGATGCAGGAGGTATGTGCAAAGTGACAGACATATTCACTCACTTCACATTGCTTTCACTGGTGAGATACGTAAGCCAGCAAATAACTCGGACAATGAAAATTTTCATATAGAAATACATATTTTTCTTACCAATTTTAAGGGCAAGTGATTTCATGGAAACCTTCAAAATCAGGACAGTATTTATAAACTCTAAGTCTAGATTTAGATTCCAATTTTAAATACCTAAACAAATGTGACTTGATACTCATTCTTCAACTCCATTGACTTAAAAAGGTCTTCAGAGGTACCCTGCATCTTGTAACAAAATATGTCCACTTTTATTTAGGTGCTTAAATATTCCTTTCAGATTCAACATTTAAGTATGAAATTTCAACCTAAATCTTCTCCTTTTGTGGCTCTATAGAACTCTTTCCTGTGCTCAGCTTATGAGCCCCAGCCATTTACAAACCGGCACATGACTCAAGATCCCTGATGGCAGAACTTGGTAGTTCCTCAAAGAATTGGATCACTAAAGCCCCCTTCAGCAATGGTGATGACAAAGGCCTACAGCAGAGTCTTCACACAGACTGTAAAGAAGTGAGATGAAGAAACACATTTTCTGTGAAAGAACAAAGGTCCCACATGAAGATGCTCAGCTGACTGAGCTTCTGTAAGTAAAACACTTAAAGAGATGAGCTGAGAGCTAAGATTCCTTACACTTAATGCACTCACATAGAGTGTATTACACTTAACATACACACTCATTAAGCCTTCTTCAGTCTGAATTTTCTTTGTTACTTCTCCTTTACGATAAAGGTGTACAAAAAACCCTACATTTTTACCTTATATTGAAGCTATACCTTAAATTGAAGGGTTTTGAATCACGCTGCTTCCATCTGAAACATTTCCTAGCAAAATGCTAGGAAAGCACCTGGAGAAAAACTCCAAAAGTCTATTTGAATTCTCATTGTACAGACTTAATCATCCCTTCGTTTCAAAGGCATCTCTAAAGGCATCAGTTCTACCTCTTTCAACACACATGTTCTCTTTCTTAGATACTCTTCCTTAGCCTATGATACATAAGGAGTAAATTGGGCATCTACATGAAAACCAAATAAAAGATAAATTCTCCCTCCAATGTATTTCTCAAAAAGGAAAAAAAATAGAGTTTTGCTTACTTTTTTTGTAATTATGCAAGCAATAAAGCAGGTGGAGTTCATTATGCAAAGTTCAAATAACCTCTGAAAAAACAAATACCTAATCACTTCATTCGCATAAATATAAAAAGATTGTAAAGGTATTGTATTTCAGGGTATCCTTCTTGGTAAAAACATCATAGATTCTCTTTTCCCACTGATATTAAAAGAAAATCTTAGCTTCTAATTACTAGGGATAAACTATTTTTAGAATTGTGCCATTTGTACGTACTGAAAAATTGTCATGGGTACTGGAATAAACCTCATCTGTGGAAGTTTGGCCAATACAGTTAAAAAAAAATTAAGAACAGGAAGGGAATTTTTGAAAGCTTGCCAATATTGCAACATTTTGGAGTGCTAGAATATCCACACACACAGGTAGGGACAGGAGTTATTGGCAAGCCCAGATGTGCATGTTACATGCACTAGTACACACACAACATGAACTTCATGCATTTGTGTCCTCAGAAAATGCAGGGAGACCACTGGCCTCTAAATAGCAACACTTGGAAACCTTTAGGCCTTCTGCAATAAAAAACTCAAACCACAAAAAGGTCAAGTATGTAGGGCACTAAGGAATATAACTCTTGCATACAAAAGCAACAAACTGTATTATAATACCTGATTATTCCTAAATGTGATTTAATCTGAGGAAAGCTGAGGAAAGTTTGAAATTGTCAACTACTGTTAATAAAGAAATGTTTTAGCTGCACTTGCTTCCAAAATATGAAATAGTACTGAAAAGGGGATTTAACTTCTAATTTGTTTCCAGAAACGGTACTTCTTATGGAAGCAGGAGGAATAGCAGCAAGATGTTCACAATTGGAATTTCTCTCACAAGTACTAAAACTACATGATGAGGGAAAAGAACATGCTGCAAGCCCATTAACAAGACCCATCAAAACACATTAAAATATTGATGCAAAAATGAAAATTCTGGGTAGACAACTGAAACATTGTATCAAAAGGCATAAATAAAAACAAACTACGACTGCAAATCTATCAGAAGTATTCTACATAGAACAAAAAAAAAAGTCTTCAGAGATTTTCCAGTATTCAACACTTAGAGAGAAATTTGCTTAATTCTGGGAGCCTGATATGTTAATTAAATCCATGCAACCTAGAAACATCAGATTACTAATTTTTAATAAAGACACATGTGCTCCCTTCTCTCCGGCCATCTCAGCAGCTCCTGAGAAGCACCAGGGCTCTGCCCCAGCCACCCTTTCCTTCACTTGCACCTTGGTACCAGCAGGCCCTCTGCAAAGCACCTCCAGCATGGCCATGAGCAGAGGTCGTAACAACAACACCCATGGGATTTCCAGCTTTGGGTAGGTTTACATTCTATAGCTTTTGTTGTTGTTGTTACAGTAATAGCAAATGACATAATAAAAAGATAAGAACATAAGAACAAAGCTCCAGCACATTTTCTCTCTTATGCATACCAGTGCTGCATTAAGAAACATTCCTGAGTTTTCAAGGCCTTCTACAATAAGTCATCCTTACCTATGCAGTTTATCCTCCAGCATCTCCATGTATTTTATTGCATTTTCTTTTACACTGGCCACTGCAAGATAAAATTCAAAGTTAGGCAATAGTATATCTGTAATTTCTTTAAAATCATCTCTTATAGCTTTACGCATACCATTTGAAAATGATAATTCCTATACAATAGGCATATAGATTTGTTTTTAAAATGTGTTTGTAAGTATAGATTTATGTCTCTGCAACTTCTTCGCTTAGAATAAAATCTAATAAACCACCTACTCAACATAACACAAAACAACAAAGCTGTTGTTGCTGTCATCAGTACGCCCATCTTGTGCAAGAGTGGAGGGAAAAGTTAATTCCCTCTCAGAAAATGGAGAACGTAAAGAATAATCATTTCATATTTTGACAAAAAAAAAGTTTTTTTTAATTTCCCTAACAGCTGGTTTCCTACACTAAGTCTAGTAGGACTAGACACTCTTAATAACTCACCGCACACCAATCCCATATATGATTTACCTGAAAATACATTCTGCAGAGAATTGCTGTTGCTGTAGGCAGAGTTTGCTACATGGATCTGATGGATGCCCTGTAAATCTACCCATTGATCTCCTCCCACTGTATTCTCTACAATGATTTATCTCCTTTTTGTGGAATCACCCCAAATGATATGCGCACTTGAGAGGAATAGTACAGCTGTGTCAAGAGGTTTTAGTGATTGGCATTCCCAGTTCTTTGATCTCGAGACAGTGATACACCTACGGAAAGTGTCCAGATACAACTAACACATGTTAAACATTCCAGTGTGTTTCTTGCTTTGCCCTTCTGTTCTTACTCCCCGCTCCCCTCACCACCCTCAAAACACAAAACTTCACACACCGAAGCCTAATTTGAAATCCTGGCATTGCCAGGATCAGCTGTTCTAAAGTTGCATACACACACGCACACACAACTATATACATATCTAGCTGTTACTTAGATTGACTGAACAAAGATCCACCCGGATGTTCTAGAAAATGCTACAGTTTGTCCATGGCCTCTCTAATCCAGATTCACCATCAAAAGAAGATCTGCAACACAACAGCTAATGTGGATCCAGCAGGATTAGGAAAGGGTATGTTGTATAGACAGTTGCATTCATTTATGGAGTCCCCGTTCCACCTCACTATTAGAAGAGCACTGGGGAATGCTACACTAAAGGTTATACAAGGATTTCTGCAATGGCAGTGGAAACTAAATAAGTTTCTTTATTCCATAGCAGAGTTTTATAACAACTACAAGGCTTAGTAAAAGTTGCTGGCTTTATTACCGCTCTTTTATTCCCCATGCTTCCCGTGGAACTCCAGAGAGTTTTCCTTTAATGACATCCTACAGAGGTACGTTAACTAAGACCAGTTTTCCAACGCTCCCTTTGTCAGGTGCCAGTGTGCTGACCTGGAGTTCAGCACGCACTTTCACAGCAGATGGCTTCAAGGGACACGGCCACTTTCCACTCTCCTGCCATTGTCGCAATATCCTTGACCACGAGCTGTTACAACTCACAGACTTATTCTTTCTGATAATAAACTCAGTAGATATTATTAATTTTTGCAGAGGGATAAGAAGAGGTAGAGAATCTGTTTCACACTCACTTTGTTTCTAACCGATATAGTGACTTCTTATGTTACATGAAAGATAAACCTTGCTTTCAATTTCTCCTGCTGTGCTTGTCACTTTTTAATTGGGTATGATCTGATAGAGTAATTCTCACTTTCACAGTTCAGTCCTGCCCCGACATGCAATTTCACAATGCCCTTGAAGCACACAGCTTAATAAATCAGCATTTATTCAATGACAAAAAGTAATGCACAAGAACACACCACTCGTCAAAAGTAGGTCATTTAAACGCTAGCACTCATTTGGAAATCACCTCACATCTCTAAACTGTACTCTCTCCTGCCAAATGTTTTAACTAAATTAAAGGAAATGCAAACTTTGCTTCTACAGGAGAAAGCTATCCAGACTAGTCTGGTCTCCTTGCCTTCTTGTGCATGTAATTGAAAGATTTGTGACCTGGATATTTTCCTTGAAGGAAAACCTTGCTTAATAATTCTTGGAGGCTACTTTCTTTGAAGCAAATCACAAGCAGCATTGCAACAAGTCCACAAATACTTTCAGCCTTTCAGATAATTTATTTGAAACAGAAGACAAGCAACAAATTAGCAGAATTTAGTTTAGTAATTTAATGAATCTATTCACCATCACTTCAAAGCAAGAACACGTAGACTGTAAGCTCTGTATGCCTCAAATCCAACTAACAAAGTACTAGAAGACAGACAAAATAATAATAATGAGATTTTCTTCTGCATAAACAGTCCAAATGGTTTATATTTAAGTGAATAGGATTGGTTTTTCCATGAGTTCTCTGAGGATTTCCATACTTTGCTCTTATTGGCCTTGAGGGGAGTTATTAAAATAAAAAAATATAAAGACTTATGGAAGATCAGACACCAGGGTGTTTGCTAAGATTAAAAATAGACTTCCCCTGTAAAGGATTAATTGATGAAAAGTGATTTTATTTTGTCATATAATCTTTTTCCTCCCCTAGTTCTCCCAACAAAATCCCATTTTACAATCAATCCTGGTCAGATGGAGGGCCACAATAAAAGGGCCACAAACTTGGGTGGCCTTTTTAGTTCTTGCAGAGCATAAACCTGACATCTTGAAAGCTGCATAAGTTTCTTCTAATAATTAAACCAGATACTTGATTTTTCACAGTAAAGAACATGGCCTAAGTCCATGGCTGAAAACCAAAATGTGGAGCAGTTGAAATGGCTGCTAGCAGCTCTGGACCCAGCACTAGAGAACTGTCACACGTTACCCGCTTAGATCACAAAGTCAGAGCCTATACCATTAAATCTCACTCTTCCACAACCATTACATTGCTTTTCAAGTGCTTTATTAGCAAAGTAAAGCAAAACTCCCACTAATTTCAATAACATTTTTACCTGACTTCAGAAACTCGAGTGAGATTTGGCTCTTTTTAAGACTGATATAAAAACAATTGCAACTGGCTGAGTGTGAAAAAGCCCTCTGTATTTAACACAGATTTCTGGCAGATTTCTGGGATTTAAGTTTGTAAATAATTATTAATGCTAAAATAAAAAGAAAGGACATCATTAGTTAAAAGTTAAAAATATCTGACAGCAAGAGAAAAACCCAAAGAACCAGCTACGAGTTAAGAACAACAGCCTCTTCCAGTTCATTATTCCTGGGGAACTTAACTAAAAAGAAGAGAAAAGGATAGGATTAAAGAGAAGAAAATAGGTGGTTCAAGGCAGACATACAAATGCTCCGAAAAAAGCTGACATCCTGGGTCAACTCAATCAACCAAATGTTTCTCTGGTTCACTGATTATCTTTCAATAATGAAGCAAATCCTGAGCTGTGCAGTTACGACCTGTCTCTTCCACTGGTTGTGCTTTCTTCTAAGGAATCCACTCATCCTTTAAGCATCATTATTGAAGAGCACTGTATTAGTCTACAGAAATCAGTGTCATCAGAGATGAGGCCAAAATTTAGACCAGAGAATGGTGAATTGCCAAAAGAACATTGGTACCAAACATCTGTGATATTAAATCTCCACATTTCTTCTGCTGGGACTGCATCATGTGAATGGAGCAGGGCTGTGCTATGCAAGGGCCGCTAGGTAGCCTGAATTTCTTTGGAGGGAAGAGAGCCTACAGCAGCTGCTGAGGTGGAGCTGGGTGATTTGGCAATGTTGATTTTATCCTAGTCCCAGCCCACGAGAGGACAGTGGGACTCTCAGGAATCTATTGTCACATGTCACTGTAATGCTCATGCAACTCTCAGAGGGAAGCAATAGATTGAATCTTGCCCATAGGAAGATTTCAGCCAGTGGCTTCATTCAGGCTGCTTCTCCAGACCTAGAGGGACCACAGTCCTGACGAAGGATATGTCCTTTCACCTTCTGATAGGTGAAAACTGAAAAATAAAGGATCTAACTTGAACACCACTGACATGCACTCACTCATTCTTCCCCTAAATGCCGTGCTATCAGCTTCTGCTTCATACCCCCAACCATTGAAAATTTAAAAAAAAAGTAATAATAAAAATACACAGAAAGAAAAGGAAATGCAAACTTGCAGAGCACAAGACAGAATATCATTTTCCTACTTATGTTGCATTGCAAAATGAAGAAGGGGGAGGTACAGAATGCACAACCCATCTTCCTTAGCAGTCCCTTTGGGGCAGATACCGTAGAGGCCTGCTGTTACCTTTCCCTCAAATGCGTGGGCACCCCGAACAGGAGGAAGACTGCACTCCAGCCTTGGTCAAGCTGGAATGGATGGACACTGCAGTACCAAGGACAACCTGGCTTCTCTCACTAGCAGAGCCCAGAAAGGGGTCGGGTACAACTCATGTGGAGGGATGGCAGTTTCACATAGCAGAACCTGGTAATGAACAAGCCCTTTGATTTTTCATGGAAGCATCTCCATTTGCTTGTTTCTCTGCTCCCCCCAGCTGCCACCTTATTTTCAGCGGGTTTAAATTTGCAGGCTTTGCTGCAACTTAATGAATTTTGAGCTGACACCCACAATGAATCAAGCAATACCTTGACTTTGATGTGAAAGATTGTAGCCAGACATACATGGCTATAGAAATTACTAATATCAACAGAGAGGCCAGGTCTTGCCCTCAGGTTAGATGTTAGGACAGATAAAAGATATAGGAAATTTCAGCATAAACAGAAGTTTTACAAAGACTTAAAAACCTGAAAACTAGATCTTGCAAAGATATCTTACAAAGAGGCGCACCAGCAGCCCTGCCTGTACCAACTGAAATATCTGTCTTCTGGGGCACGGCATAAAAAGCTTGCAGAGCAGGAAACAGGGCAGAGAAAAAGCCCACTCTGCATAAAAAGGCACATTTGAAAAACCGACATTCCCAGAAATTACCTCCTGAACCTTCCGCATTGTATGTCGTACTTTTCACCCACAGAGACAGGTGACCCTTCAAACTCAGTGATGATTAAATTGCCTAAATTGAAGGGAATTACCATAGCTTCATATGTATTTTAAGCTTCTTCAGATTTTTGCAAAACCTAGCAAGCCAGACACATGGTAGTTCTTCCTGTGTTACATGTGGGAGACAGCAGGGGAGAAAAGGCAAAGTTACTTTCTGAATACTTCCAGTAAATAATTTGCTTTTGAAAAAAAAGCCAGATCAAATTTTAAGATTTTTTATTATTATTCAGTATTAGAACAAGCATACTGCTTTTAAATTAAAGGGACAGGAGGTGAAATACTGGGACAACAGTGACCAGAGCACTAAAGTTACATAACAACAGATCTTCCTTGCTATTTGAAGAGGCTATATAAAGCATAGGGATGGAAACCAAGGCACAGGGTTATAAAGTGGTGATTGGAACCACCCAGCGCCGCAGCCACAGAGCCGGGGCAGCCTCCAGGCCTCCCGGCGCGGCTCCGGCCTGCGCGCGCCGCCTCGCCGGTAACCACAGGCCCATCTGCCACACGTCTGGCCACCTTTACCACGCGTGACCCAAAACTAGAGATGGTCTCTTGGGGTATGCCAAACAGAGCTTCAAATTTAATGCAGGCCTGGAAAAACAAAACAAAACGAACAAACAAAAAATAAAAACATACAAACACGCAGGCCTCTCCGTGCGCCTAGCACTGTAAGGCAACCTTATCAGCTCTGGGAAACCTGAACTCGGCTCCAAATCCAAATCATGCTGGTGCTTTACATTTCTAACATAAATAAGCTAAAGTCTCTCAGAAACGTATTCTTTATTATAGACAGGTTTTAAATTATTGCAAATGAAATAAGACATGAGATGGTGCATACTCTTTAGCGTGAGTTTTACTACATGGCACTGGAGAATATTCGGAGGAACATTCTCAAGGGACCAAAGCTTTTGAATTTTCCTACATATCAGGTGAGGTTTGAGCTTTACTCTCCCTTCCCATCACATGGCTGAGAGCCTCCTAACCGCTTGGCTAGTTTTTCTGTGGCCATTCAGGCCACTGTTTACTTAGAATATCATATAAACATTTATCAAAGCATATTGATGCTAGGTGTCTTGTCCTTTCCAAAATATATGATGAATTTTTCATTTTTTTCTTCCCTTCCCCACTGACCAAAGGGAATGAATGAAGTGGGGGGACACAATCAACCTACATTTTCTTCTCGCTTTCTGCTACCTGTTTTGCTCCCTGCCTGCACGTAAGTGATTTCATTTCTTTACTGACCATCTGTTCGCTCCCCCTGTAATAACTTCTAAAAAACTCTTTTTTTTGCTTTCTCATTTCTCCTTGCAAAGCAGAGGCTGGGTATCAGGGAGAGCCATGTGTCCAGTTTGGCCTCTGCAGATTGTCAGCAATCACAAGAGTTCATCTGGAAACCATTACCCAAACTAAAAGACAAACAGACTCGACATGTGCATAGGCACTAAAAGTCTTAAAACTAGCTACTCATATTGCCACAACTTTTTTTTCCTGAAAGTAAGATTTATTTTAACACTGTTAGATAAAACAAGAATGCCTGGTATTAACTGTTTATATAACTATTCGAGGCAAATAACAGAGAACTATTAGGCCATATTCAGTAGCTAAGCTCCATGGCAATAACCAAGAACATCTAATAAGTACACTATGAAAAGTCAGAACAACTCAGGAAGTATCTTAGGAGACAAAATAAAAGACAAGTGAAATCCTGAGTTAAGTTTTGGCCCAGCAGGATGTCTCACTGCTAACAGGGATCATCTTAGGTCACAGCAGTTAAGCAGTATCAAGGTTTCTAAAACACACCGTAGCTATTCTAAATTCTTTTCATGGCAGATGTTCTCCCAAACTTAAATACTCAGCATTACGCATAACGATTTAGACCATGAATTACAACCAATAAATTACACTGAATGAGTAACCCACTTTGGCTTCTAAATTTAAGTCACAAAAGAAACCAAAGATAGACAGAGATTTCTTTAGATCATTCCAAACTCTCCAGAAATTTGTCCGAAAGAAAAGGACTCCACACAATCTCCTGCAGACTTAATATTGCTACATGTCAGCCTCAAACATTGGCTAGTCAGGCTATACAACCTAGTGAGAATCCAGGCACCCCCAGAGAGGCAGTCTCCAGCAGGATTATGAAATATGCTTTGTATTGCAACAAATACATTCAGTTAACGCAGAAACTGTTCGTGTGCAAGACTTTAGGGTACAGAAATGCAGCACAGTAGCACAAACGAAAATAAACTGGCAGAATTTTCTCTCAAATACTGCCATGGTGCTACTAAAAGAGATGAAAGGGAGAGACGAATACAAACATAGGAGCTTTGGAAAGTGACAAAGCCAAAAAAAAAAGTGTGTTAAAAAATGCCCAGTGTAAAACTGAAAAAAAAAAAAACCCTTATCTTTACTGCACTAGAACAAATGTCTACTAAGACATCTATTCCTTAGAGTATTTTAAAGAAAGTACAGTGGAGCTCAAAGGTACATACTGAACATTAGAGGAAATATAAATTGCAACAGCTATGACAAAAAAAAAAAAAAAAAAGGAATAACCAGCATGGTGAGCTATTTTATTTTTAACAAATAGAACTCAAAATAAACCAGGGACTTCCTACACTAACATTTACTTACAAAAGACAATTGCAAATAGCATTAACTTGTATTTTTAATGCTATTCTTTTCAAGGATCTCAAACAGGTCTTCAAACTACAGAATACCCACAGAAAAGCAGCAATTTCTGTCTTTAAAAAATAGCTGTCAATGGGAAGTGATGTAGAGAAGAAGAGAGTTTCACACGGAGCCTGATGCGCTTCAGTTTTCAGAAATTCTTTATAAACCACTTGGCCACTGTTGGCTGTACTACGCATGTTTCCTGCTACACAATTACAGGGCTCCTAAACACGAAAAAATGCAAAGCAGTCCAGCAAAAACACAGAGCAGAGCCTGTTCCATACTCACTCCAAGAAATAGGACTAAAGCAGTCTGAATATATCACTTTTCTTAATCCCTAACAACCTTTGTCCTGCCCTACTTATGCTAGTGTATGCAACCTGCCCAGGGCTGCTCAGGAGTCTCAGGAAGCTCATCAGTTACTCTTCAACTATATTTGACATATTAATTTAAATATACTGGTTTTGACCATGAGCACGCAGTCATGCCTAAAAAGCATCTTGGCTATTAATGTTTAAAGCTGGAATAAGGATTTGCAAAATAAAATTGAGACCATTACAAAATTTGAGCCAAACGGAGGTAGCTATAAGAATATGCGTATCAAGAGTCTATATTAATTCTGAGCAGCTAAAAAGGCAGTCACAGATACAAGTGAACTCTTAAGTGGGCAGACATTTTTTGAATTGCTTTCAAGACAGGACCACTAATTTGTTTGACTTAAAAATAACGCTTACAGTATAAAATCAGTATTAATTTTATTATTAACTTCCCGGTGCAAAACTGCAATACACTAAAGCTGCTGAAAAAGATAGCTTTAATATCACTAAGTTAAGGTGGTCCCAAAGAAAGGATTTCTCATAAGTACATTTTACAAATGAGTTGTACATATCAACTGCACAATAAACAAGGGATTCTAATGGAAGACAAAACCCATTACACCGCAAATTACCATGTAATTTCCTCCTATGTTATTCTGCAAAATATTTTGCATCTTTTTTTCTTGACACCCTTTCCTGTTAACAGAGACAGAGATATCTGCACTTTCCCCTCATCAAGATAAACTATAAAATATTTTAGCTGTGCGCTAACCTTTTTTTTTTTGTGAAGATACCTGATTCATACTTTGCTTACAGAAATGTAAAGCAATTCGTCTGCAATTGAAGCACCAATTTGATATCTTTTTCTGAAGCTGCACCAATAGAGAATCTCTTATTTGAATTAAACCAAAGAGTTCTGTATGAGAAATGTCCATAAAAGAAGAGAATTAAAGACCTTGCCTTTCACATGATGTCTCAACATTGCTATATAAGTAGAAGAATGAATCCACTCATCCTAAGTAGCTTAATGCTTAACGCAGTGGTCTCATATGTAGTGTGTTTTGTTTGTTTCACTGTGTACGCCCATTTCTGGTGTAGTTCACCCTTTTTATGATTTTTTAACATGATTTTCTTTTCAATACATTTTGTTTGTCTTGTTATACACTCTAGCTGTCTCCTTCTCTGGCTCCTAAGTCTATGGAGCTTCTCTCTCTCCCATTTTCCCCTTCTTCTATTTTCTTTCCTCATCTGACTTTCAAATTCCTTTTTTAAAGTTCCTGTCAGCTTTCCTCCTTCACTTCAGCTATAAATCATTCATCACCACAGGGTGTTTTACTTCTGGTTTTCCTATTCATACCAAACTTGCAGTATTTGAGTTCCTGTGAGCAATGAAAACTTCTAACAGAGTCTAATAAGCACTCCCAAGTTGGTACTTTAAGGACACTTTACTGATCATTCTGGTTGTTATGAAACAACTTCCCAATGCCTGACGTAGATTCCTTCTAGAGTAATTTCATTTAACATGTTCTAATACCAAATGTTCTTCAGGTATAAATTCAGCTTGGTTTCATTTGCAGGACCCAAATTATTTTTCAAGGGACAGATGAAAAGTTTTAAGATATTAAGTTTTAAAAAGATGAACTAGATGTCCAATTCTGGTAAGTTAAAGGTACTAAACTTCAGGCCATCCCAAAAGCCACAGCAGCAGCAATGGCAGAAGTCTGGCGCTGCACAAAATGCACGAAATTACGATTTTATGCTTCCTCCCTCATTTTTCTCTTCTCACTAAGGCGCGAGGGGAGCATTAACTCATACTTCTGAACTGGCCACTCTCAGGACAAAATAATCCACTCTTTAGACAATATCCACCTATTTTTTTTATCTACACTTTTATGGAAAAGGTGATAAAGCAAACGGAAGAGTGCCAGGCCACCAGCTGGATCACATCAGTCTTGCACTACGAGGCGCAGGGAATTAAATTTTCCACCAGTCCCACAGCCTAAAGATGAAGAGACTTGAGTTTCCTGCTCAGGTATCCAGTCCAGTTTTTGGGCTGTTAGCGCTGTAGTAAAGGCAGCCTGCCCAGGAAGGGATTTTAGAAGTGACAGAAAGGGAAATGAATGGCCTCGAGCAGGAAAGAAGTCATAATGATGAGCAGGCAGAAAAGTGTTTGCTGGAAGAAATGAGGCCAAGGGGAGCTCTACGGCCCTTTGGTCCGAGCTGCAGCTGCTGAGCACATTGCAGGCCCCTTGCTGGAGTGCTCAGGTCAGGGCAGAGTGCTGGGAATCACGAGGCTGCACAACACTCTTGCCATGGAGCCACCTGGTTGCTTGGTGGGTTAGCTGAGTGACTGGGATAATTAAACAGTCAGCCTGGGTTGCCCATGCTTATTTATTTATTTAAATTGCATTTTTAAGGTTGCCAGAGCACTTAGTGTTTATTAGAAGTGGACTTGTATCACCTTCTATGTTTATGTTAACTTGAGGAATATGCAGTAGTTTAGCTGACCTTTAAGGTCTTGCATAGATTTTGCTGCTCACACGTCGGCAAACTATAGAAAGAAGAAGTGCTTACACAGCAATGCTGCCACAGTTAGACTGCAAGAGGCATTTTCTAGGCTGTTTTGTGCATTTTAGCTTTGAAACTTCCAATAATATCACTAGGAGTAACACCGCTAAATCCCCAAGCAACACTTCTGGAAGACGAAAAATAGGATAAACTTATATTTAAAGAAGATTAGAAAAAATACTTCTTACACCATTTTCCGTGTAACAGCATAAGTCTTAGATTCAGAGAAATGCAGAATCATTTGGGGGAAATAAATGATTCACTGGGTATCGTTTTTTCCATCCAATTAGGCTGGGTAGCTATGCTGAGTGTGTAACACATACCCACGCTTTACCTCTCCTTCCACAGTGTGTATATATTAAACACAAGTTAAGACTTCTGGGTTTTCAACTTTGTTGATTTTACATTCCCTTTGGGATTTGAAGTACTATTTTGTTTAATTATTCTTCCTCTACTCATCCACAATATTGAATGACAGTAATAATGAGCTCAGAATCATTGTACAAATCCCAGTAGGAACCATTCATAGTTTGCTAATAGGACGTTGTATTTGCATTACCAAGTTCAGTTCAAAGCGCATTGTGTAAATTAGCTCCGAGGGTTAGCACCACAAATCTAAAACCAGAATATCAGGTCAATTAGCACAACTCTAAAGCACATTAGTTTGGGTGAAAACATAAAAGGTATTATTAAAATTCCAGGAAATCATCTCCCTTCTTAGGGTAAGGGCCTCCAGAAGATGTCAGCTTCTGCCTCTGGAAGAGGCCAGAATGCCTCAGCTGTGAGTGGCCTGGTGCCCCTGACCCTGACTGCTGATAAGCAGCACTGGCCTGCTATACAAGGAGGGCAAAAAACTAACTTTCAGGAGTGGGAATCCTCAGGACTCCATGGAAACACTTTCTTCCCATCCAATTTAAAAGAAAAGGTACAGTAAAGTT